CAATCACAAGAATCAGAAAATCCACAGACATCCCTGTAAGGGACAAGGTCAAAAAACAGTAGTGAATTGCTTTGATCTTCTGGTCCTCAGGCATCAATGCATTAAAAACTCAAGCAGTAACTATAAAAACTACAGTCTGGAGTCTTCAGTGGAGACACTTGCAGGATATGGATAAAAGAATCAGGGGATACGGTGATAAATATGCCCCTGTTCAGCATTAAAACTGAACATACAAATGTTTTAGCTTCAATATTCAAAATGTTATTATCATATTATTTTTGTTGCCATATCATTGACAAAATAATATTATTTTGTTTTATTGACTTAGAAATAATTTAATCCTGTTTTTGTTTACATTTTACACATTGTGCTGGGGTGTGGTTTGTAGCTCATCTGCAGGAGAGCAGTGATGGCGATGCATCGAGAGCAGGCAGCGGTGCATCACCGTCGATTGGAACAGCTGTGGGACCAGTCTGGGCACCAGACAAAAGTGTTGCAGAGAGTTGCCTGAGCTGGTTCCTCACCAGCACCGGCCACAGTGACGTCCTTTCACAGCATGGGGGAGGGAGATGACCCACAGACCTTCGACAAGGTCTTTCAGGCCACAGCGGAGGCATGTTTCTGGCTAAAGGAGGAGTGGGTGATGAGGTTGCTCCAGGTGCTTTCTTGCAAAACCCCGGCAGCAGTTCTCAGCTTGACTGCAGCAGCGAGGAACAGCTTCAAAGATGTCTGCCAGGTGGTAGTCAACCACTGGGACTCCCACCTGGGAATTATAAGGACCAACCTTTCACCTATGCCATCGTTCATGTCTCGCACACTAAAAGAGCCATATGAATTACTGGACATTAAACCTGTTTGGACCAGCACCTACCACCCTCAGACTGACAGGCTGGTGGAGTGACTGAATAAGACTTAATAAGACTGAATAAGACCTGATTAAAGAAAACTGGCATGAATGTCCAAGCCCAGCTAAGATTCAATACGCTCTAGACCTAAGAGCTGAGCTATACACACTGGGGAGGTTATCACAAGAGAATATGCCCCAAGCCCAAGAAACCACTTCTCTGGTGAGCCTGGTTAAATACAGAGATGAGGATTGAGGGGCCAAATTCCACCATTCCTGCCTACCCGATTATGATAACCATTTCACACAGGCCCAGAGAGCAGATGTTGCTGCATTGCAACAGTGATTTGAAGATGTGTTCTCTCCCCTGCCCAGTCATACCCTTCTCACAGAGCACCATTTTGAAATGCACTCTGGCATGACGGTGCATTCACAGCCCTGCAGGTTACCTGCACATAAGAGGAAAATTGTTCAGGGGGAATTTTCTGAAATGGTATAACTGGGAGTAAGAGAAGACAGAGTGCGTGGAGTAGCCCCATAGTTCTTGTGGTGAAGAAAGGTGGTTCTATACAGTTCTCTGTTGATACCGCAAGGTGAATGAAGTGTTTGATACCTACCCAATCCCACAGGTTGCTCCTGGACCGGTTAGACAATGCTCATTTTTTTCCACAACACTGGATTTAACCAGGGGTACTGGCAGATTCCCTTGTCTGCAGAGTCCAAGGAAAAAAAACACCCTTCTCCACTCCATATGGTTTGTACCAATATGAGACACTTCTGCTCAATTTGTTCTGAGCCCCACCCACCTTCCAGTGCCTCATGGACCGGGTGCTGCTCCTACTTGGATGATGTCATCATCCACAGTGACACCTAGGCGGAGCATGTGCAGCGTGTGGCCACGGTACTGGAGTCCGTGAGGCAGGCAGGGTTCACGGCAAACCAGAAGGAGTGTATAGTTGGACAGAGGGAGGTACAGTATCTGGCGTACCATTTGGGAGGCGGGCAGGTGTGTCAACATACGGGTAAAACGACTCCTATCGCATCCTGCCTGCATCTCAAGACCAAAAAACAGGTGAGGCGGTTCTTGGGGCTGGTTTATCTACTTTACCACGCCCGGTTTTGTGTCCAGCTTCACAGACCTGACCAGCCCCTTGACTGATCTCACCCAAAAGGGTGTTCCAGATTTGGAGCAGTGCCAGGCAGCATTCTTGCAGGTAAAGAATTCTTGCTCTACACTCCTAACTTTTCCCTCCCTGGGCTGGGGGCAGCTTTGTCCCAGGAGATAAGGGGGGATTGACCGCCCTGTTCTATACATCAGCACGATTTGTCAGAACAGGAGGCCAGGTACAGTACAGTAGAAAAAGAGTGAGCTGTTGACTCTCTTCGCTATTACCTCCTGGACTGCCATTTCAGCCTCTGTTCGGATCACGCCCGGCTACAGTGGCTCCATCGCATGAAGGATGCCAACGTCTAGATCACCCGGTGGTATCTGGCTCTCCAGCCTTTTGTTCAAGGTGGTCCGTAGTCATGGCTGACTTCCTCTCTCACTTGCAAGGTGTGGTATCAGAGGAGGCTGACCAGAACAGCTGATGACCATTGTCTAATCATGCTTTCCCTATTTGAGTAGGACGCCAGGACCTGACGGGGGAGCTGTGTGTGGTTTGCAGAGCACAGGGACGCAGCTGGAAAGCTGCACAGAGATGTGGGATACACTGTAAATAAATACCTTACAACATGCAACACTGTGTGCGTGGGTCCTTTATCCTGTCACACACATTATCCCACATTTATTGAAAATCAGGTTGTATGCAATCATGCAGAGCAACAGAACTTGTCACCATATGTTGCAGTTCTGTTCCATTCCTGCAGATGTAACTGGTAAAGCTGCTTGCTAGCTGTGCTGTTTGCATATTTTATACAGAATTATGCAATTATATAGGCCAGATCTAAAATTAATCAATACAGCTGCATACTCTGTATGGAAGACTTGTCATGTGATGACTGCTAGTTCCTTTTTTCAAGCCCGAAATATCCATTGATATTTCAGGTGTTTCTTGCTTAAGTTAGCGATTTAAATTTATGTGCTTGTGTTCATTTATTTCTGCTAACTGTTAAAACATTTTTTAGATCTCTTCACATGTCACTGTTGGTTGTATGCACAAAACCTCTGAGACTTCTAGCAAAACCAAACAGTGCATTCAGATCACAAAAATAGCCAGTGTTAATGAAAACATTTTTAAGCAATAGTTATATTGCTTATCGCATCTTGCCTGCATCTCAAGACCAAAAAACAGGTGAGTCTGAGTCAATAAATGGAAAAGAAAAGAAGAGAAGAGGAGAGAAGAGAAGAGAAGAGAAGAGAAGAGAAGAGAAGAGAAGAGAAGAGAAGAGAAGAGAAGAGAAAACTCACCTGAAAAAACACTGGGAATCTTGGTTAGAAAACTTTTCACTGTTCTGATGGGGATGCCATTTTTCTCATCCTGCATGCGTGCTATTACCTCCTCCATCTGCACAAGACAGGGACAGTGGAAGAGAAGGGAGAGTGAGTACTTTCTGTGAACTTGTATAAGTAAGTGGAGGTTGTGTGTGTGTGCAAGAGAGAAAGAGGTACAACAGATACAAACATGTTTCTGTGTGGTTCAGCCACGTCTCCAGGGGACAGAGAGTAAGGCGAGAAAGTTAGTGACTAACCATCACAGCTGTCAGATTTCTGCCTCTCCTTTGACAAATCTCTCTGATGTGTGTCATTTGTCACATAAAAGCACCAGTAAGCTGCACTTATTGGATTCTGCAGTCTCTATTGAATTTTGGAGTTCTAGCAGTGAATTTTTATTATTATTATCCATTGCATTATATTTATATACTCAAACCACCACATACATGAACTGGGCAGAACAGAGACAAACATTAGAAATAGTATCAGTACTGTAAAATATATTGCATTGTCTTCGGCATTAACATTAAGTTAAAATGACAAAAACAGGTGTACAGCCACATACTGGCACACATGCAAACACACAAACATTTGCACACATGGCAAAGATGGATGCACTGGGAGTCGTCTCGAGGGCCTGGCAGGGCAACACAAGGCAGACATGTTTCCAAGAACACCCAGAAGGGAGCAAAGCAGAGCAGAGCATAGTGCTGACGCGTCACCACAATTGGATGCCAAGCTACCTCCCTAAACTCTTCCCTCAGTGTAAAAATATACACATGGAAAATATGTACGTAGAAATCAACACATTTTATTCGGTCCACCCACCACACAAACCTCAGTTGTAGTGATTCTATCAAGGTTTGTCCACTTTAACTCTACTATTTAATAATGGCATTATTTGTAAAATGTATGAATAGTGTGATTGCATTAAAAAGCTGCGACTTTTTTCAACCTCTCTCGACTACCATGACATGGATGACTGCAAACCTATATTGTAACTATATCGCAGTAATACTGCAAACAGGAAGATATGCAGCGTACATGACTTTTTTTTACCGATAACGTTTTAGATTTTAATTAAGAATTTTGCATTTTAATAAATGATGGACTTAATTTTTTATAAAAAGTTTATTTTATTAATCAAGCAGCAGACTTCCAAGCTGAACAGTCAAGCCAGAAGCACCAAAAACTGCTAATTTTCTAGTCGTTGAGCCAATAGTCATAGACTCCTGTTAAAATATCCAACTTTACAGGATCAAAATGCATGGTTCAGCATGGTAAAAAAATGCTTTCACATTTATAGGTCATGAAATTCATTAATCATTAAATTGCACCTCTTCACTATGTGTGTGCTCTATGTGTCTAATTTAGTGGATTATCTGATTAATATTATGGCTTGTTTTGTTGTACAGACTGTCCAAGATGTTTGTTTAGAATTAAACAATTAAACTAGAATTGAATTCTAGTATCATCTTAGCCCAGTAGTTAGCACTAACTGGCCAATAAGTGTGTCTTTGCAAAAGCACCCCTATTCAGTTTATGAATATGGTCCACTTCTGGCTCCAAAAAACAAAAAAACTGCATGGAGGCATCAAAAAAGCTAAAACGCTACTGTTAAATGCATGTTTTATACTGTTGTGATTCTTACCTTTGTCTTTTTTGCTTCTAACTTACCCGCCCACACAGGCACAGGTAGTGAAAACACCAGTTGTTTATGCATATCCTATGAGATGACGTTGTCCTTCTCAGTGGATATGAAGGAGTACCTTAAGTTAAATATATTTTGCTGCTATTGTCTTTTTCCCAAAAACTATGCGGCAAGTGAAAGCTCCAAAGTGCTATGTTTCGTACAGGTGTTTCACTGTAATTTTATTTTCAGTGGGTTTTTTTGTATTCAAGCAAATCTAACTTTGTGTTTGGTGTTTTGACATGACAATAACTGTGCGCTACACTGAAGGGTTGTGTTGTTCTTGCAGGTCTGACTTCATCGCTCATCTCCTTCAATTTAATTTCCTCTCCATCTTTTATATAACACACATACAGTATGACTTATCAGCTCAGCTCATGAGGGAAATTCAACACAATATGAATAAATACAACTGCATTTCATATAGATGTGGATTTTGTTTAGGTGAAAATGAATTTCTTGGCCATATCAGTGAGAAAGAAACTGTTTTGATTATGCACAAGCTATGTTAACGACTTTTTTGTTTGACAGTTCATGAGCCGGCTGTGAATGTATAATTATACGATAAAGACCCATGGCTAAAATTCTGAAGATGAAAATGATCAAAATTAGTGATTACAAGCGAACTGAGAATGACAGAGCACGTGAAAATATTAAAGAGCTGACAGATTAGTCTGGACCTAGACACCTAGAAATGGAAATAAAAATAAAAACCGGGTGAAATGCATATTTCTGTCTGTTTTGTTAATCTCTTGCTCCCACAGTACCATGTGAATTACCTGTAGCACTAAAATACAGTTCTAAAAACATCTTTAATCTCTCACACATTAACAAGATCTTAGCTTTAATATAAAAAAAAAGCTCTACCTAAACTGCTTCTAGCAATCCTCCTTGAATTTCTGTTGTTTGTTGTTGGATTTTAGTTATTCTCACATGTGAATAATATCTGGGACACCAGACGAGTTTGTATAAATAGCAATGTTACACCAATTGCATGCCGATCTTCTCCCCTAAAGGAGTCCACAGTCCAATACCCCACAATCTAATCTGAGATATAATATTTTATTTTAATGGTCAATGCTGCAATCAGTAACTTTCACTACTTGTATTCCTCTTTCATGACTACTGGTTATTTGGAAATTTAAGGATGTGAATGTCTAAATCAAAGACAGGTAAAGTAAACTGATAGAAATGGTGGAAGCTCTAGCTGACTAAGAAAAATTGGAGACTTTATTGAATTTATTTTTAACATTCAGACACTGGAGCAGTCACTACATCACTATTTGTGTAGTAATTACACAATAGTAACTATGTCAGTATTTCTGTCAAATCTAGGAGCTTGTGGCTGGACTATGAATGCAAACAAACTACGATGGAGTTACAATTTTCACAATTTTATCAATAAATTTATAAACAGTTAATTTTTTATTATGACACATATATTTCATGTAACTGCTATCTTGACCCCATTCGGTCATAAACTAATAGCGGACTGACTCCATGTTACATCGAGATGTCGCCGCCTTGATGCAACAAATTCGCTTTGAAGACAGCAACTGACTGCGAGTGGTTACAGACTTGCTCCCTGTCTCCAAAGCAACCATTTCAAAGGCAAGAAGATTGCAAGTATATTACACATAGTTGCAATAATTTTGGTCATGTCTAGTGGGACTGTAGAATAACAAAATGCTCAATGTCATTCTCTGTGCTTTTAAGTAGATTTTAAGTAGATTTGGTACAACGTTCAGACTTGATTTAGAAAATCTTTCTAAATTAATCCAAAATGCATTTAGTTCATCCCTTTGGAACAATTGTACCTGGCAACAGTGGCAACCTGTCTCAGTCTACCTTTCTCTAAAAGTTGGATGGTACTGTGAGCCACAGAGCAAACAAGGACAACAGCAACATTGATCAATACTTCACACACTCTCCCTCCTATCTCTGCAAACCGCCTACACATGGTAAAATGCCACCAGCGTGAATATTCAGGATCTAAAGCTCTTGGAGTCGGGATGCTCTCAGGCTTCATGTTGCGAGGAAGAGACGAAAGTCGTTTCCACAAGAGAGAAGGAGGGGGAGCAAGAGCCTCTCTATCTCTCTCTTTCTCTGTCCCCCACCCATCCACCCACCCAGAGCTGTCTGACTGTGTCTCTGCAGCCTCTTAACAGATAAGAGTGAGTGTTTTGGCTGCACAGTGTGAATCATTGAATAATGATGGCACAGGACTCAGTACGTATGAAGTGACTAACAAAGCTCCGGATATAAGCACATACTGAGCTTCAGCACAGGGCTTCAAGCACTTCAAAGACTATCACGGAGGGTACTCAGGGTGCAATCAGAATGTTTTGAAGCACCATTTTCAGCAAAAAACATTTCAAACTAGCTTTGTAAATCAATGCTGCCCTCTTAGATTTCTTTTAGCCTCTCTTAAATGCAGCAAGCGCACTTATGAGATGGGCTATTCCTAAGAATAGCAAGTAAATAAAAGAATCATTGATTAAAAAGGTTATATAGTAAGCACATCAGCAAGGTGTCCATTAAGCTATGTTATTGAATGTCTTAAGAAATGTTTAAAAAGCTGTTTTGCTGTCATGATGGGGAATGTTCACCGTTCATTTATAGAAACAGCAACAACAACAACAACTTTTACAACAAGGTTTATCAAGTGAACCTTGGAATTCTTACCTATATGTAACTGTAAAACAATTTGGTCTAGGTGTTTTGAACCGTTCTAGAGTTCAGTGACTGGATGCATTTTGGAGGGATGAGGTACCCCTGTGGGAATTAACAAACACGGCTTGAAAATTGCTGTCAGCAACTATCATGTTAACATTTGAAGCAAATTTTCCAAATATGAGTCACAGTTCACTCATTTTTGGATTATTGTACAACCTATAGGCTGCAAGAAGTGGTTTCACACTTTAACACATGATTGCTATTCATCTAGAGGTTGACCTAGATTTAAACCTCTGCACTCAATGAACTTATTTTTGAGACATTCTTAATGGGAACATTATTACCCATATAAACTTTACATTAAACAATAAAATTACTAGCTTCCTAGCTGTGCTGCTGAGAACATTAAAACCACTCCTATTCTTCTTTTTCTCCTCTTGGTCTTGCTGTCCCTGTTGTGATGGGTGACTCTTGCTGCACCAGATGCACGAGTTGAATAGTATTATCTTGACAGTGTTATCTGAGGACAAGGAACGATTCCTCTGAAGTACATCACTTTCACATCATGAGACGTTGCATTCGTACACACTGCACAGGCATTCTCATCATTACATGTCACACAGCGCACACAACAATTATCAATCATATTGCAAGACCGTATGCTCACAGAGAATTCAGAGATATGCACAACAGACATTATTAAAGCT